TGTCAAATTTTGCGTTGTTGTCGGGTCTTGTTTTGTTTTTGTTTGGTTTTTTTTGAAAGATGAAAGTTAAAATTCTTATTTTAACTTATGTGTAGGCTCACCGGTTCATCCTTAGTTAGGATTAGGTGAGGTTAGGTCAGTGTATGAGTGGCTTATCATTAAAACAAAAAGCATTCTTCTGAAAATGGCCAGGTACAAGGTTTGAAAATGGAAAAAGCAACCAATATACAAATGAAAACTTTGAAAGACCTGGAGTGGTGTTGCTCTTGACCACTAGAAGAAAATTACATTCTTAAAACAAAATATAAAGGAATGAGGGGTGGCTCCAGACTTTTGCACAGTACTATATGTCTGTAACAAATTAAAAACTGCCAACACTGTGGCTAAGAGTTGAGATTGTGTAGTTTAGTCTGTAAAATGTAAACAATTGTTTAAAAATAAGGTGGTAAACTAATTTAATGACAAAGCTATGATCATTATTAGCTTTTTCACTTTTATTGTCGTTCCCAGGGTGGATCTGAAGATGTAGCCTACAGTGTGCCACCTCTCCACCACCTAACCACTCCTGCCCTGGGATAATCAGCCCTCTGCCACCCTCACCCTGGAGTACTTTGACCTGCATCCAGGGCTGCCCTGTGTGTGACTTGGCCGTCCTCAGTCACTCTGTCCCCAACGTCCTTCGCCATGCTGTTCTCCCTTAGAGAGCTGGTCCAGTGGCTGGGCTTCGCTACCTTTGAACTCTTCCTCCACCTGCTGGCTCTGATGGTCTTCAGCATGTTGGTCGCCCTGCAAGTCGACGAGTTCACTGGGCTAAGCTGGTGGCTGGTGTTCGTCCCACTGTTTGCTGCAGATGGCCTCAGCACATACTTCACTGCCATCGTGTCCATCCGGCTTTACCAGGATAACGAGAAGCGGCTGGCGGTGCTGCGGCTCCTCTGGGTACTAACGGTGCTCAGCCTGAAGCTGGTGTGTGAAGTTCTGCTGTGCCAGAAGCTAGCCCAGCAGGAGCAAGCCAAAGACCTGTGGTTCGGCCTCATCGTCTCGCCGCTTTTCATCCTCCTGCAGCTGCTCATGATACGAGCATGCCGTGTCAACTGAGAAGGAGCTGAAGTGTTTCATCTAACTGACAACATAGAAGCAGAAAGCAGCTTTGGGTACATCCACACTAATAGGTTTACATTTTAAAATGTTCGCACTACTCCAGCATTTAAAGACCCCTAAAATATGCGAGACTGCCCTCGTATATTTTATCCATTCCTGCGTACAAAACATTAAATATAACTAACATGTGTTGAATAGCCTATTAAAATAGATACATTATAATGAGACAAAAAAAGACGAAATCCACAAAAGCAGCACAGTTAATAAAAAAGTGAAATAAAATCTAAAAGCCCAGTGAATAAAATGTAATACAATTAGCATAGAAATGAGAGGGGAAAGAAATACAGGAAATAAATACGGAGTACACGGGATAAAGACTTAAGGATGATATTGTTGGGGCAAAGTCCTCTGCTGCCTGTATGTCAAGATTTTGTGTTGTAGTCTGGACGGGCAGAAACCGAAACTTCTGAAAGTGCTGATGCAGACACTAACATTTCTCATAGGGCCACAAAAAGGAAGTGAGAACACTGTAGCTCGACTTGGAAACCATTTATGATTGCATTCTTTATGTTTGTGAAAAGTATGACTTAATTTTTAGCCGTTGCCAAGGCTTCCTCAGATGTTTCACTTTATCACAAATCCCACAAGTTACTTTCAACATCAGTTCTACCCACAGGAAAAAAAACATATAAAAGATGAATGTAGCTTCTGGGTCTTAAAAAACCAAACAAAGTGAAGCTAGTGCTAAAGTGCCTTAAATCTGCCACCAGGGGGCAATTCCTTTTGGTTTCAAAATGACTTCTAATTATATAAAAGCCTGTGGGAACACATCACTTATCTCCCTTGCCCTGTGACGCATGCATTTATTTGTTAAATTGGTTATTACAGGTCTTAATAAATAAAACATAAAGGTAATTTTCTAATCTTTGGTCTTTATTGGGTCAGAAATGTGTTAACCAGTGAGCTTGTGGCATTCCTGTTTCTCAGTCAGATCCAAACTTCTTAAAACGCAAGTATTGTGACAGACCTCAAAGCATAATAACAGAACTTCACTAACTAACAGGTGAAGTCACAGTGGCTACATCTATCTTTTATAGACAGTTTATGCTTCCACTTTATTGTGAGTCCAAGTAAACAAGCCTGTCTTTACGCTCTGTCACTGCTGTTCTTCCCCCATAGTATTTTGCATAAGATTTGTTTCATCTTTACACTGGCTCAAGCACACACATTAGTTCTTAGTCTTCACCATTAAGAAAAATCCCTATTTCCATTAAAAATAAATAATAATAATAATAATAAAAATCTTATCATCTCATTATTCTCCCGTTGTTGTCCAGACTGCACAAGTGAAACATGTTGGTCTGGACATGGACATTTTCTGGTTTAAAATACAAACATGTTAGTGTGGGTGTAGCCTTCATCTGCCATTAGAGATTTTAAAGCATAACCATTTTTCATTTTTATTTTTGTTTTCTTTGGTTCATTGCCCCCCCCCCCAAAAAAAATAAATAAATTAAAAATTAAAATGAGCGTTCACATTTCAGGAAAAGCGCAGTTAATTTCTAATTGCTTTAACATGCATAATAAACAGAAAAATTTCTCACCTGCTTGAGTTATTATTTTTTAAAAAAATCTAAAGAAGAAGCACACTTGCAGGATATATTTTGGTGTGCAGGTTTTGTGATACATTTGAAAGAGCTTGTATTTGGACCATAGTGGCACATCTGCACTGATCAGTCATTGGTAGAAAATTTACACCAGAGGTATCGCTCTAATGCACTGTGCACTCAATGTTAAAGCAGCAAAGCCCCAGGCAACCTTTTTGAGCAACTTTCATGATGTTGCTGCAGCTTTATTGATTGCTGTTTCCCTCCTTGGACGGAGAAACTGCTTGCCAGCAAAAATGTGTTTAGGATTTTAATCTGACTGTGTCGTGTGTGTTCATCAAACTCTATCACAGAGAAGTGGTTTGGACTTGATAAAAAGCTGGATGTGAAAACTGTCGGGACTCAGAGGGGATTGTTTTACACATCATCCCTAAAAAAACAAACAAACTGCTGTTTACTTTGACAACATGTAATGTGTTTAGTCTATTTTGAGTCCTTTGCTGTCTGTGTAGCGCATGTATTTAAGGCCTCACTTTAGGGTAAATCCTGATGTGAAATTCTGTGTATATGTTGATTTGTTTTTCTTTTTTAAAAAAAAATAAATTAAAATGTTATTTATGTTCTTTTTTTTCTGTGCCACCTTTTTATTGTCATCTGTATATACATGTAAATAAAATAACATTTAATGGTTGTCCGTTAAATGTTTTGAGTCTGTGTTCTCTCTGTCCACAATGGGGCGCTAGTTCGTGGGGTAAAGGACTAAACGTTTATGTCACCGCATAATTAAGTCAAACGCAGCCATTTTTTCTGCATATAGAAATCAAACAAGTATGACTTTTGTTTTTTCTTAAGCAGTTTTAATAATTGGGATTTCATCTACCTAACCATGGCACTGTTAACACTGACCTACATCCTAGGATATGTTTATACATCATCCATTTTCTTCTCATTCAGGGCCTCAGGGTGCCTATCCCAGCTGTGACAGGGTGGCAGGGTCACTAATCAAGCTAACTCTCCATCAGGTGCTTTTGGACTTCAGGAGGAAGTTAGAGCACAGAAAACCTGCTCAAGCACAGGGAGAACCCAGCCTGGAACCCATCCTTAAAGCAAACATCACATCTTTAGTGCTCTGTAGTGTAATGCGTATTCTAATGTTTAAAATGATCTCTATTAGATTTGATGATAACAATATGGGAGGCTTCTCTACAGGTGAACAAAAGCATAATATCCGGCTGCATACCAGTTCGGTGTGGTGTTCCTGATTAAAGCTGGAACTGTTTCCAGAATGGTCTCTGCAAATGATAGAAAATCTCTTTCTGAAGCTGATCTGCAGAACAATGTGGAAAAATTCCTGGTTTGCAGATTTTCTAAGTTTAAAATGTATATACATTTAAAAATAATTAAAGGAACGTATTTATGGCTGCATACGCTTGATATACTTTACATTTTAAAATAAAGATAAATAAAATACCAAATATTATGAAGGCTTTATGTCCTTCTTTTGTTTAGTTTTTTCTCTGCATCTTTCGGTCCTGCTTCAAAGGGGAAATAAGGCACACTCTTCGCCCTCTTCAGCCCTGCTCTTCTTAATTATTGCCCCGCGATGAATGTTTTATGAGCTACAGTAATCTCTTGTAGTACCCAAGAATAGCCCTCTTAGTGCTGATTCATGTGCAGCAGACTCTTTCCCAGCTCATCTGATCGCTGCACGCGGATTATCGACAGGTGGTATCACCGGCAAATGCTGAATGAACCGAGGTTAAGTCTATTTAACACTCCGACATCCCAACCAAAACCATTTAGAATAACCTGATTCCTATCCAGTGAGACTGGGGATGAAAACTGTGGAAAAACCACAAAAAAATAATTATTTTGAACACTACTGGGACATAATAGGTGGTAAAGTTTAAGAAATGTTCCCTATTTAGTAAATACAACAAAGGTAAATTAGGGTTTTAATTCAATTTTAACAACAATAATAATGTGTAGGGGTTATAATTCTACTGTGTTATGTAAACGACATTTTTGTTGTGATTAACTACAAATTAATCAGCGTTTTTGTAATTAAACAGCAACAAAATTTATATTTAATCACATAATGTAAAAATATCGTGAACTTGAACGCAGCACTTTTGATTGGCAGGCCTAATTTGCTCCGTCAACAATAGAAACGGGATGAAGGGGGCGTGCCCAGAGCACACAGATACCAATCACAGACGCTCGGACTGCCGCTGAGGGGGCGGAGCCGCATTCAGGGTCCTTTGGGGAGAAAGGGAGCCAGACAGTGTGACAGCAGAGGGAGAGGAGAGAGAGAAGAAAAAAGGGATGTGTGTGAGTGTGCGGTGATCGGTGCTGCAGGTACAGTCACAGCCGGAGATACAGCTTCAAGAGCCGCACCGGACCGCGGCAAGACCGCCTCGGAGCCTGCCTGCCTCTCTCTCTCCTCCTCATTTCTTCCAGTAACAACCCTCCGCGATGTCTGGCGGAGGAGAGGTTCGCGTCCTCCGCCAAGAGGGCGGCCAAGAGAGCCCGAGGATGCCGGCCTGGAAGCGAGAAATCCTGGAGAGGAGGAAGGCGAAAGGCGGCGGCGGGGCTGGGGGAACCGGTGCTCCGGAGGCTAGCCCCGGGGGAGCGGGCCCGCAGCGGGTAAACGGCGAACTAACGGGGAATGTGAACGGAGGAGGTGGTGGCGCGACCGGGCGGAACTACACCATCACCCCGGCCACCCAGCACTTCTCCCACAACAAAGAGCCACAAGCGACGGCCGCGGCGACACCGAGGGAGGAGGGCAGACACGAGAGCCTGGTGCTGCAGGAGAGCCTGGGGCCGCTGGAGGAGAACCCGTTCATCAAGCTGGAGAAGGAGCGGAGGAGGCGGCAGGAGCAAGAAAACGCCACCCGCCCGGTCCAGCACATCCTGGAGCTGTACGGCAGTGTCCCCGGCATACGGACTATCCGAGCGGAGAACATCATCATCATCGAGTCGGACCCGGATTACTTTCCGGAAGGTGGAGGCGTGAAAAGCGAGTGCCAATGGCAGCAGAACGGTGTGAGTAGTTACAGCTCTCTAAACGACCTTCTGGACCGCAGAGGGAGTGCTGTTACCGAGATAAGAGCCAAGGAAGTCGTCATTTATGACACCACGTTAAGCAAGAGCGAGGAGAACCTGAGCACCCTGGGCCGTCCTGATCAGGAGGTCCCCTATAATACAGGTGAGGGTCAAGGTAGGGTCAGCCGGATCCTCCAGAAGTTTGACAGCAACTATGGGAAGCTGCAGAAGAAGTCCCACAGCACAGAGAACCTCCTGGACCTGGATTGTAGTGCCAGCAGTAGGCCAAGACTCTGGCCCAAGACGCAGCCAGATCTGGTGCCAAAGCCCAGGCCGGGTCCACGGGTCAGCAGCCCGGGCAGTAGCCAGCCATCTTCGCCTGTCTTCCAGGGCCCCTGGTCTTCCAAACCAAAGCCACAGCCTGCCGTCTCTGGGCCGGGAAGCCCCCAGCGTTCACAGCCCGTGTCTTCCTTCCGTCAGCGCTTTGAGGAGAGTGGAGTCCACCACAGCGCAGCCGTCACCCCCAGAGACGAGCCGGACAGGGGGACAAACAAGCCCACCAGGGAGAGAGACTGGGAGGCCGCTGAGGTGCCCCCCAAACCTAAGGTGCCATGCTCTCCGGAGACCCGCCGTGCCCGTGCCGAGGCCCCCTTGAGCCCTGTCTCATCCAAGGTGACCTGCTCCTCACAGGAGTTTGAAATCCGTCCCGCTCCGAAGCCAGACCTCGCCCAGATTCCTGATGGCGACACCCAAGCACGGGCCCTCGCAAACCTTCGCCTCCAGTCCCGAAACTCCTTCACAGTGATCCCCAAGCGCCATTTGGCTGCCTCATCTTCAAAAAGCAGCCCCATGGTGACACCTGGCCCCATCAAGTCCTCCCCCTCACACAGAGCAGCAGAGGTGCCCAAACCTGGAGTGCCAACCTCCCCCACCCTGTTAAAGAGGAAAGAGGAGGAGAAGGAGGTGGAGAGGCCATCCAAACCTGAACCATCTCCTCTCACTGTTGCCACAAGTCCTGCTCCTTCTCTCTCTGAACCTTTATCTCCATCCCCTGCTCCCACTTCTCCACCTGTCCTCTCTTCACCCCCCTCTTCTCCAGCTATCCCATCTTCACCTCCCTTCTCTCCCACCCAGTCAGTCTCTTCTCCAGTGCAACCTCCAGTGGATCAGCTGCCAGTAACAAACATTGACGACATCGAGGTGGAGCCCCCACCCCAGCGTGTCCCTGTTCCGAGCCCCTTGGTGCAGAGGAGAAAGGGGAACACCTTCACTGTGGTGCCTAAACGTCGGGTGGAGTCTGACGCCCAGCTGAGCCCACCTGAGCCCCAGCAGGAAGCCCCGAGTGAAGCCCCTCCGGGGTCAACCCCTCCCCAGGCCCCCTACGCCCAGCTGGGTTCCCTGTTGAAGAAGCGCTACCCTGCTGTGGAGGAGATTGAAGTCATCGGCGGGTACCTCTCCCTTGCGAAGTCCTGCCTCTCCAAGACTGGCTCCACGGGCAAAAAGGTGAGATGAAACAATATATTTAATTATTTTTGTGGCTTGTTAAATGTGAATATTTGGTGATTTATAGCACTTTAACACTACACGATGCATTACAACAGGCCTGGGTACATGCATGCAAAAAGCAAGCAAATATGGGCTATTTATGAGCACATGGCCTTACACACGAATGCTTTACTTCATTACAATGATGCCGTGCTTGACACTGTGCAAACAACTGAGACAGTAACCTCTCTGCGAGACCATCAAATCATGGCCTCTGTTGCTGACACATGCAAGACAGATGTTTAATCAGCTGCAACCTGCAAAAAGTGTATATGAACATACAGTTAAGTGCACAAATATTTGCATGGTGTAATTATGCAGCATTGTGGTGGATTTTTGGTTTATTTTGCTTTTTGAGCCTTTATCACTTGCATCCACATCTCTGTGGACCTCACATTTAGAGGTCCAGTGAACAGCTACTGAATACAAGCTCAGCACATCTCCAGATCTTTTATGTGCATAATTTCTATTGAATTTAAGAGGGAGCAGGTCTCATCTGGCCATTAAGGTGTCTGTCCAAATTAAGTAGGGGACTGTGCAAAAAATGGCTGTAATTCCCAAATGGTTAATGCAATGCATTTGTGCTAAACTCCTTGAATCAAAACTGAAAGTGTGCATTTGCTTTTTAAGTCTACTGTGATGGTGTAAAGAGGGAATACTGTCTGTATGAGCGGGGTATCTTCTTTTGGAATAACATTGCAGACTTGCAGTCAGTAGCCTTGAGATTCATTAACACAATGCTGGTTTTTATCTATGTTTTGGGTGTTATTTAGTTTTCCTTCTAGGACGTCGGGTTGTATTTTGCCTGTGTGTGCTTGTTTGCTGAAAATCTCTGGGGTTTGAACTCTTCATAGATCAATCAAACACACAGAAAGTACTAATATTATTGTTGCCTTGCAATCTCATGCCTAGCAGCCTTCCCGGGAGACTTGCGCAAGTTTCATGTGATCTAAATTTAGCAGCTGAGCGTCACAAATGCAGGAGCCGCTGTGTGTGGGGTTTATTTTTTCTTCTCTTTTTTCTGTGTGTGTTTCTTTTGCATCCTTACCAAACTGTGGTCACCTGAGTTTTATTTTGGAGGATTGTTTTCACCTTATCCTGACCGTTTTTGTCATGTTGGGCTCCTTTAAATGGCCCATCACTTGACCCGCTGCCGGCTTAAGTGGATTAAAAGCGTGTGTTTACGCAGTCACTTGGAACAACACGCTGTGGACTTCTGTCCAACAACAGCATGTTAGTGCGGCATTAGGTTAAATGGCCCTGCAAGCTTATTGACTGAACAGCTGCTCTCAGTGTTTTGTCCACTGCAGGTACAAATATATTGCTTCTTTTGCAAGAAGAGCTGAGATATTCCCAATCCTGGTCATGAATCATAATTAAATCATAGCACAGAGCATGTTGGAGGCATGTTCATATCACATTAATGTATCTGGTGAACGTCCTGCCTTGTTTTTAACAGTTTTAGGGCTTTAATTAAATTTGTGGCAATGTTTCTATTTAATTTTGCAAGGTGCTGCAGGCTGCATCCAGAGTCTGTGTAATGTTAAGCGTGTTGGTGTTTATGTTGCTCGGGTATCGGCAATAAAGGGAGAAGGGAAGAGAACCTGTGGCTTGAATTTGAATATTTTATTGACGTCTTGGTGGTTCAGATGCTGAGGAGGGGGTGTGGTATACAACCTCAGCAGGATGTTACTTTTCACTGTTCTGCTTGGGGGGGAAAAAATTGTTTCTGTTTCAGCCCCTGAATATTTTTAGCCATTTGGCATGTCCTCGATGTAGGCCAGTGTTACAGCATCTCAGACGTCAGCCTGCAGGTGTGCTTCCTCTACCCGGTGAACTGTAATCTCTGCGAGTAAATCCAGCTACCTTTTACAAGCAGGCCAAGAAACCTGAAGCTCACAACATACCATGTGTTTTTTAGCATAATCGCTGCATGCTTGGTTAATTATGTTCATATCCATCATAAGTATTAGCAGTCATGTAAAAGAGAATATTGGCTCCCTGTTAAATCCAGAGTTCAAGAGTCTGGTCCTAAACACCTCAAAGTATCATATTATCCTAACAAAGCACTTCATTCCCTCCATGCTGAATGTGAGGCAGAGCCTTCAGTTGTCAGACCCTTCTCCTGTGGGACTAGCTCCCAGTTTGGGATCAGGAGACAGGAGGAGGACTACATCTGCTTATATGTCATTACTTATATGACATTACTTGTTGATGTTGTTTCTCTTATCTCTCCTCACCCCTCAGCCTGAGCCTGGTTCTTTTCCTGTTAAAAGGAGTTCTTTCTCCCCACCATCACCACATGCTCATAGGGGATCATGTGATCATCGCAAGGGTGGTCTTTCCATGATCGCAGGCCCTTTACCTTACAATATAAAAAGCCTTGAGAAATCGAAACGAGCACCATTGTATTTACTTAGAATGCGATATATTACAATAAACGATTCGTTAAGTTTTGGTCTTCAAAGGTTTTTCTTTTTTCTTTTTTAGACAGTGAGCAGACAGGATGACAGGAGGGTTGCACCAGGGCCCAGTTAAAGTTGACCTCCTATATAGAGTTTACTTGTTAAATTTGTGGCTGCTCATAGTCAACATGCCAAAGACTTACATCATTTTCAGAGAATTTAAAAGTTATCCCATCTAAATGATGTCACAGAAAGCAGTTATCCCTCATTTGTCCATGTTAGGAACAGAAGCTCGGTGCACCTGCTGTTGTTTTGGAGGGGCAGCCAGTCAGAAGAGAAAAGTGGAGCTTATCCTGAACTATGTGGCTGTTTAAAGCTGTGAGTCACGCAAAGCAACTCGAGTAGAGTCTAAGAATAAAAAACATGGAGGTGGAAATGAGCAAAATAAGTACCTGTTAAGTTACTGTACCGAAATAAATAAATAAATAAATAAATAAATAAGCTGACGGCAGTATTGTCAGTTATTTTTGCCATGTTGAGTCTAAGTGAAACAGAAGTTTGTAGCAGTGTTGTTTTAAACATGAATTTAAAGCTCCTTAGCAGGAATTTTTCCACATGTTCCTGTAACTTGTATTTTTAGTTTCAGTGGAAACTCTGGGTGACTGCTGACTAGAATAAAATTACCTGAGTTTTGCTCCTATTTCATGTCATAAAACAGATAAGGAGGCTGCAGACACGTCCGTGCAGCCTGGTTGTGACGTGTGTGTGTGTCTGTGTTTTTTATTGTGTGCACATGTAGACCATGGCAGCGACACATGATCACATCCTGTCCTTTTGTGTCCAACAAAAACACTTTATTCTTTTGTTTTTCTGCCCGCTCCTCTTGGTCATCATCAAGGCCCGGATTTTTTTGGGTTTTTTTGTTTGTCCTCTTCTTCTTCTTCTGCTTCTTTTATTTTCTGGGCAGGGCTGCACAAGCAATTACAAAAGCATCAAGGCTTGGCCTAGCCTGTATAATTTGTGTGGAATTTTTGTTCAGGGCCGCTTCTGTGTGAGAGCAGCCTTTCGGAGAACGGCCTCAGCTTTGAATTATGGGCTGGGATTGGGGTTTGGTTTTATTTGAGCTCTCTTTTTCCAACAAACCCAAACCATTTAAATGTTTTATTTTTTTATTTTTTTTTTTTTATTATGAGGAGCTTGGCTGACACTGAATGATCCCCATGTACGTCAGGAACAGATCATCAACTCTTCCGCTAGATTTTCCAAGAATCTTTTTACTGGTTTTCTCCCAAGACTTTTTGGAGCACATCCAGCAAAGACTCTCCTGTTAGTCGTCTTCCACTCTGCTTTGTTTCCCCCACCTCTCTCTAACCAGTGATGCTTTATTCCTGTGTGGTGGTGGTTAATAAGGCCTGTCCCCTCGCTCCTAGCTTCCTCTGATCTCCTCTCTGTTGGGGAAGGAATTGTGGAAGAGCTAGAGTAAGTAGGTCAAGTGCAGCTTCTTGTAGCACTATCACTTCTGTATTTGCATAAAAGCGACTCAGGGTTTTTGACTCACTTTCCAGCTGCAGTTTGATTGGATTGGCTCTCTTGGCTGATTTTCTTTTTTTCTTTTTTTTTTGGAGAATATTTTTGTTATACGCAGCAGCTCTTTGTGAAGCAGAGATGCAGTTGGCAGCGGGACACAGGAGGAGGTGGAGTGATTTGTTTCTTTTTTTAAGTTGCTGCTCCCTATGACTGTTATTATGGGAAAAACGAGACCAGCCAATGCGTTTGTCAGCATAACATCCAAAGAGACAAAGGGAAAGAGAGAGGCATTTCTGTGTATTTGCCACAGACTGTTTGTAAAAGATGGACAGAGCCACCATGAAGCTTTAAATGGCTGTGCACTCTAACCCTAATTAGGACAAACAAAATTACCGTGACCACGTCCCATTAACTTGCACTTTCATTGCCTTTGAAATGATTTCTTTTAAGATAATAACCAAGAACTGCGACTACTTGCAGTCAGTTGCCATGCTCAAAGCGATTTTGATGCATCAGGACAGTCATAAACAGCAATAAGAGGGAGCAATTCCACTGACAGCGGGATTAACTTTATGATTATTTGTCCTGTTTGTGATAACATGATGATTGACTGTGGTAAATCTGCAAAAATTGCAGTTCTAGAGCTGCTTCATATCCTGGGTGTTTCTGCTTGGTATTCACAGAGGAAATGGTAACGCTGCTAATATTTAAACTGTTGCTGCATATTTCTATGTAAATATGATCATTCTGTCAATTAAACCCGATTAGGTTTTAGTGAAGACGCTAATGCATTTGTGACCGAAAGGGATGATTATTCAGATGAATGAGTGTTATTATCATGGAAAGCAGATTAGTTATGTTTTTTTTTTTAAGTCAGTCTATATTAACCTGTGATTGGATGATTGAATGGCTGGAGCTTTGGGCTTGTTTGGTTCAGTGAGTTTACGCTGGTGTAAAAGCTCTCAGCTGAGCTCAGTTTAGGACGACCTCCGTGTGGTTTAAAGCTGTATGAATCTTGGTTTAAAT